CCACCAGCCACTCCTCGGAAGGAAGATGGGGCAATCTACTTCTGTAGTGATACTGCCTCGGAAACCCAAGGAGGGGTCGCTATGAGTTGGGTTCGACTCGACGGCACATAACAACAACAACAACAACATAGTCTCTAAAACAGCAATACAAAGAATACCCCAATATACAGAAAAAACATCAGTTAATTACTTTAACTTTCTAAGCATCCAGTTAGATAAAAAATTGGTATGTAAATTAACCTACTGATATACCTTAGTTCTCACACAGTTCCCCCTCTTTTCTTTCCCATTTCTATGTACTCTTCTCTCCCCATCACTACATACACTGTATAAAAAATAATCAGGTAGAACAATTCATTAAGGAGTTCTGGTGGTGCAGTGGCTAACAAAAGGTCAGAGGTTTGAACCCACCAGCCTCTCTGGTGGAGAAAGATAAGGCAGTCTACTTCTATAAAGATTTACAGCCTTGGAAACCCTATGGGAGTCACTACGAGTTGGAATTGACTTGATGGCAGTGAGTTTGGTTTTTTTGCTTTAGATCAATTCATTATGTCAGCCAACAGAGGTGCTTTGGAGGTCCTAGATAAAAAAACTAGGGAAGAGTTCTGGGGCAAATTCTTGAATGGTAACAGTGCAGAGTCCACAAGGCAACCAAATCAATGTAACCAATATTTAATGGGCACCTTCTATGTGCAGATACTATGCAAGGAGATATATCACTATGAATGTTGATACAAGACCTAATCTCAAATACATTATAATCTAGTAAAGTGATGAAATAACTATGCTAATAACTACAGAAGTGGCATCGAAGGAATAAATAACAGGGAATAAGGTAATAGGAGTTTTTAAAAAGAAGGTATAAGTCTACAAGGATGAGAAGAACAGAAGAAAACAGATATAAACATTTTAAGTTAGAAAAAAAGAGGAAGTAGTAAAGAATTTAGGGGATCTAAGAAAACAGATTTCTAAGATAAAAATATGGAAAGCTGAGATGCAAACCTAATTTATACTAATGAAAAAACCCACTGCCATCAAGTCGATTCGGACTCATGGTGACCCCCATTGGGTTTCCAACGCTGTAAATCTTTATAGAAGTAGATTGCCTCATCTTCCTCCTGCTGAGCAGCTGGTGGGTTTGAACTGCTGACCTTCTGGTTAGCAGTCAAATGTCTTATTCATTACACTACTTGTTGTTGTTGTTTGCCATCGAGTCAAACCCGACTCATAGCGACCCCTCCTTGGGTTTCCGAGGCAGTATCAGTACGGAAGTGGGATTGCCCAACCTTCCTTCCGAGGAGTGGCTGGTGGGTTTGAACCGCCAGCCGTCTGGTTAGCAGGCAAGCAGGCAAGTGTCTTAGCCACTATGCTACCAGAGCTCCCCATTACACTACTAGAGCTCCTTAATTTAAACTACATAATTTCCAAAAGGCTCATAATTTGTGGTTCTAAATATCTCTGGGGGAAGGGGTATGGAGAACTGCTAAAACAAGAACTGGTTCAAAGTCAGTTTAAGAAGGAGGCAGATCTCTATATACCTTTTTTTTTACCTAGCAAAAGAATAGAGGTTTATTCTCTGAGGTACAGTATAGTAAATTACCTGGTATGGCTTTTCTAGTCATAAGTCTTTATAAACTCCATGGTAGAATTTGCTGTGAGTGACTGAGAAGCTCCTGATTATTAAAGTTATCCACCTGGGGTATTTCTGTTGAGTGGCACTAAACAATGTTCTGGGAAGTTTGCTCTCTCTCAGGTGCTTAAAATTCTGATGTTATTATTGGTTAGTTTGGCCACTCTGCCAGGCTCAAAATGAGCCTCCCAGAGGCAGAAGAAGTCTCTCTGAATGCTGACTGGGAAAGATGTGCTGCTGAGAGAAATATGCTCCTGAGAGACACATGCTGCTGAGAAAGAGATGCCGAGAGACACATGCTGCTGGGAGAGAGACACTGAGAGACACGCACTGCTGGAAGAGAGACTGAGAGAGACTGTTGGCTGAGAGACGGTGGGCTGAGGAAGACTGAGCGTTGTTCCTGAACTTGAATTGTAGCCTGGTGCTTCCCTAAAAAGCCCCATAATTTGTGAGTTCTGTGTGGCCACTGCAGCGAATTATCAAACCCAGCAGAAAGGTGGTTGGTGCTGTGGGAGGAATGATTTGTGTCAGGGTTGATGAAAGGGCTGGAGGAAGGCAGCATGACTGGCCTCACAGGAATAGGCCTTGGGCTTACTGATGGTGATTCTGTCTTCCTCTTGTGGGGTTAGAGGAAGTCAGAAGATGTGGCTTCCCTGCCCCTTTAGCAACAGGGTAAAACAGAAGGTCTCTGGACCAGGGGCTTCCAGTCCTAGTTGAAGGAAAGGGTAATATACTGAAAACAGGGAATTAAGGATATATATGCACACTGCATACTGAGAACCCTCTACCTCCTCAACTTTCTTCCTCTGCTACTTGGCTCTCATGTAGTTGCTAGCCATCCCATTAGGAGATTGGAATGGTTTCTTCTGGGCAATCAGAGCAGCCCAGGAGGAAAGAACTAAAGATATTACACTGGATACTCCTGAACTACTGTAAAGAATCAGCCAAATAAGACCATTCAACAGTGAAGCTCACTGTCAACAATCTTGACTCAGATGCTTAGAACTTCAATTAGATAATCAGAGATTCCTAGACTTCTTAGGAAAACTATGTTAACAATAAAGACTTAACAACACAAAAGCAAAGAATGAGACTGCAAGGTTAGATACCCTTCAACAGGCAGCATTAAAAAGAATCCTAAGAAATACTATGCAAAAATGATGAATCTGTATAACATCTCATAATACTGATGAACTTAGAGGCCATTAGGCTGAGTGAAATGTCAATTACAAAAGGACAAATAACGTATGAGACTACTATTGCAAAAAGTCAAGAAAAGAGTTTCACAAACCTCTATTCTTTTGCTGGATAAGAAAAATGTATCAGTACTTTGATGGTTAGCAGGGGTGAGTGAGGAAGGGAGTTCAAACCACTAACTAGATGGTAGACACATTAATTTGGGTGAAGGGAAAAGTAAACAAACACTATAAAATACTGGGGATTATTTTTGTTATAATTAAAAACAAAAGAAAAAGAGATGATCCATGAGGATAATGAGGAGGCTCAACAAAGAGATATACAAGAATGGGTATGGGAGCAACATGGTGCTTTGAGAAAAATATACAGCAGTGCAAAGGCCTGCAATTCCATCTCCTTTCTACTTTTCTTAAAAGCTCTGCAAACTTCTGCAAATAATTTACACCTTCAAAGCCTCAATTTACTAATCAGCAATGAGAACAACTATTCCCACCAAGGTTTGTTAAATATATCTTTTTTTTTTTTTAAAAAAAAAGGAATCCTAGAATCCCTATCTGTTGATCTTAGGGCCTAAACCCAATGCTTGTCTATAGCTTCAAGAAAGAAATTATTAAAGTTGCCAATAGTCATAGGATAGTATAAAAGAAGCTTTTTTTAGATACTTACGTCTTTCTCTGGATTGCCATTAGAAGCATTAGTTAGTGAAACAGTAAGGATTACTCCATTGCCCGCCCGCCCCCCCCCCGAAAACCTTCCACAAATTACCTTCTTTTCTTATTTTTCAAAAAATTTTCCCTTAAATTTAGGGAAAGAGAAAACTCTGGGGTAGCCTACCCCAGGGTATCATTCCCCCATGAATTACTGTTTGGCGGCATTTACAAATTCTTCCGGAAAGCTCAGAAAAAGAAGATAAAAAACTGAGCATGGATTAAATCTTTTGTTACTTTCAACATATGAAATTTAATTAAAACATTTCTTACAAACATGTAGATTCAAAAATGTTATCCAAGAGTTACATGGGCAGTACAGACAACAAATATGAACCCTTTTGCATATACAGTACTGAGTTGTCAGTGAAAGCAAACATGGGTATA